CTCAAAACCAATGCACCTAAATTTTGCTCATTAAAAAAAAAAAGAATAATTTGAAATATGAAAAAAAAAAAAAAATACAAGTGTGTGTTGTATTTAAGACTGATTAGAAGCTTCTGCAAACTTTCTGAAAGATAAAAGAAAGAAATGAATGTGATCTAACCTTTGGTTAGAGCCGTGGGAGAATCAGGTCCAAAAAGTTTGTTGAGGATCACTATCCCTAGTGATTCTTCAGGACTGAGAGTGGGACTGTGTGAGTGAATTACTACTTGGCTTGCTCGTGTTCCTGAATCGAATTGGCTTCTTCGCATGAGGAATTTGCCTCTGAGCTCGACGTTCGTCGAGCAGATTCCTCCTCTTCTCGTCTCCAATTGGGTGGGACGATATCAACAACAACACTGTTTGGCAGAACGCCGTCTACTTCTCTCTCTGCGGTTGCTATGCACTCGTCTCCACCGCTGCTCTGGTCACCCCCCCGCTCCTTTCCTATACTGCTGATCTACTGTCACTGCAGTTTCCGCTTATCTTCTTTCTCGTGTGATTCTATGTGATTAATTGCTTAAGCTCTTTCAGAAAAATGATTTTGTGTCCACATTCTGATTTTCGATTGCGCTTTCTGAATCAATTTATTTTATAGCTTGGAGTTTCGATTCTTTTTCCCAGCAAATTCAAGCTGGGAAACCTTTTTCGTGAGTGATTGCCCTTTAACAAATATAGCATTATACATTCTGTTCAACCTTCGTAAGCATACCTCTGTTTTTGACATTGGCCGAAAAATACTGTTTTTGCCATAAAAAAAGCGCTATATTTTAATTAATTATTAAAGCTTTGTGGCTATTCGGTGCGCTCATCTCTTGGTTAATTTACGAAACGAAATTCATGGGTGATGATAATTTTTTTTTCCTTGTCCAAAAATTTTTTTGATGCCTTGTCTAGTACTTCTTTAGCGCGACAATTTCTAATTTTAAATAATTATTTTTAATTTGTGCGTTTGGAGGGTTTGATAGTAAAGTGGAATTGACTGAAAGTGATTTCGTTCTTGGGAAATGTCTTTTGTACAATTTAAAGAAAATAATGATGACGAGGCAAGGATAATTACTGTAAAGTAACGATATGTGTATATCTAAAAGATATTATATTCTTTTTTTTTTGGCAATGCAAAGGAATGTTGTCCCATTGATCGCGCCAAACGCCCTGTGGTGGACTTCAAGCGGTTGTTTATTTCCCACTATTTGTTTTTTTCCATTGTGTTTTATGTCCCAAAGAATCCTCGTCCTGATGTTGTCTTCCTGGTTCCAAATACTGCAGATTCAATTGATAAGAATTGAATTAAGAGTTCCTGAATATGGTTGGACAACACAAAAAGTTTTTCATTTGATGAACTTCATTGTCAATGGAGGTGACGTTGAGAGGCTTGATGCTTTCTATATTTTCATTGTTGTGTGCAATTTTGGGCGTCTTACTCTTTTTGCATTTCCATTTTGCAGTGCGTGCAGTGATATTTGGATTTCACCACCAAGTTTTTATCTTACACCAAAGGTTAGTACTGCACCTATGCTCTTTATAATTGCAAAGTTGAAGAGGGAATTTTTTTTTTTTACTAAGAAACAGGTTTTTTTAGTTTTTTATATGATACAGAGTGTATATTGGCTTAGGTACTAGTTTTGGTTCTATTGGATCTTCCAGGGTACTCTTTTTCTCAGCATATACACTTCTAGTTCTTTTCTGGGCAGAAATTTATCGTCAGGCACGTGTTTTGTTCTTTCTTATCATCTTT